TTTACTTCAAATTAAACATTTGTTCTTACAAATATATCCCAAATTATTATACCTTACCCAATATAAGAAGTTGGCATCATTCAAGAAATGCGCTACATTAGTGATGCAAACTGTACATTTTTTAACAGAATCAAACTGATAATTACATAAATATTACTTAAATAACTCGGATATAGAATTTCAGTGTTTCTGAATTAAAAGCAAACTGGAACTAACTTCGAGTTGTTTCTCTAAAATCAAAAGAGCTTCTTAGTAGCTTTGAAAAGACACAAAAAAACGAGTTTCCAAAAAACAAAAAAAGCTATGCGTAAATATGTAGTAAAATTCATTGAACGTACTAATCATTTTTTTTTTATTCACCCGAATTTTAAATATAGAATATTTTGGCCCTTTAATTTAAGGAAAAATCATTCTTAACTACACCAAGTATTGGTTAATATGTTGCAAGCCATCCCAAGTATAGAAATATGTTCTAAACTACACAAACTATATATAATACATGGTGACATACACCAAGTATATGTAAACATGTTGAAAACTACAAATTGGTGTTTTTTGATAAATATTTTTCAATTTAGGGGTCACTTTGTAATTATTTTCATAAAAAAATATTTTTTATGAAAATCTAAAAAACTAAGAACATAAAAAAAAACTTAACAAATCGAAAGAAAATCCATAAAATTTCAAAAATATAAGGAAAATATTAAATTTTAGACAAAAATTAAAATTCTAGTTTCAATTTTAATTTTTATAGAAAATTTAAATTTGTAAAATCCCAAAATATTTAAAATTAAAAAAATTTATTAATATCTAAAAGATAATTGAAAATGTAATGTATATAGATTTCCAAAATTATATATTTTGAAACCATTGAATTTGTTAGAAAAAAAATAAACACAAATTTTAAAATGTTGGTCAACAAATATAATTTGAATAAAATTCAATAATTTAGAATAAAATACATAAACGACATATATATTACACTTTTTCTTCGGAGAATATTTTGAGTTGTGCCTTCGGTACTATCCCAACATTAACTAGTGAATTTTAAATTTAATTTAATTTTGAAATTCAAAATTGCAAGTATAATCTAACTTCTATTTTCACTATAAATTTTTGTTAAAATATTTTTTTAAAATTTTGTATTGTTATAAATTTTGGTAACTAAAAAAATTAATTTGGTTTCCGAAATTAAAATAGGAAATATAATTAAATATTTATATTAACCTTCAAATTATGTATTTTCGTAAATATAATTTTTTTTTGGAATTATTTTGTTGTTATTGAATTTTTTAATTTTAGAAACTTTGGAATTTTACAAATTTAATTATTATTTTTTCTTTATATTTTTGAAATTGTATGGATTTTTTTTCAATTTGTTAAATTTTCTAAGTTTTAATTTTTTTTAATGAAAATAATTATAAATTGATAAATATGTATCAAAAGACACCAATTTGTAGTTTTTAACATGTTTACATATATTTGATGTATGTCACCATGTAATATATAATAGTGTGTGTAGTTTAGAACATATTTTTATACTTATTATAGTTTATAACATATTACCCAATACTTGGTATAGTTAAAAATGATTTTTTCTTAATTTAATAACCTATGTTGCTTGTGATATAAAGGTGGCCACGAGTTTAAGATGTAAAATGATGTTTTAAATGCTACCGATCTATTTATCATACATCTCTTTTGTCTCCTCTTAAAGTCAAACAAATATAAAAAGAAAATGATCGTGTCACTTTCGAGACTCTAATATTAGTTCACTTCTTCTTAACCATCCCCAACTAAATTTGAATTCT